GGGCAGCCTGCACGAGGAGATCTGGCTGCGCCGCCCACCTGGCTTGACTGGGTCGTTCCCTCCTGGTACCCAGTGGAGCCTCTGGCGGCCATTCTACGGTCTCCGTTAGGCACCCCATGAGTGGCACGACACACTGAGGACAACACTTGCGGCTCTTGGGTTTGCTCCTTCTACTGCCGACCCGTCGCTGTTTCTGCGCACCAACACCTCTTTGTCGCCGTTCTACATCCTCGTGTACGTCGACGACTTGGTCTTTGCCACTGATGACACTGCTGGACTCACCTACGTGAAGTCCGAGCTGCAGAAGAGAGACACGTGCACAGACCTAGGTGAACTGCGCAGCTACCTTGGCTTGCAGATCACCCGGGACAGAGCAGAGCGCACCATTACCCTGACTCAGTCACACATGGTGCAGCAGGTCCTTAAGCGCTTCGGCTTCACGTACTCCTCGCCTCAGGCCACTCCTCTGTCTACTCGCCACTCGCTCTCAGCTCTGCCTTCGGATGAGTCCGTAGAGTCGAGTGGCCCGTTTGCAGAGCTTGTTGGCTGCCTCATGTACCTGATGACCTGCACACGACCTGACCTTGCATACCCTCTTAGCATTCTGGCACGCTATGTTGCTCCTGGGAGACAAAGACCAGAGCACATGGCTGCAACGAAGAGGGTGTTGCGCTACTTGTGCAGTACGTTGGGCATGGGGCTAGTGCTTGGAGGGCGGAGTCCAGTGGTCCTCACTGGTCACGCAGACGCTTCTTGGGCTGACGACCAGGCTACACAGCGGTCGTCACAGGGTTACACCTTCAGCCTTGGTTCCGGCTCTGTTTCTTGGTGGTCTACCCGCTCGTATTCTGTTCTCGGCTCCAGTTGTGAGGCTGAGATCTACGCAGGGGCCATGGCTACACAGGAGCTACGCTGGCTCACCTACCTGCTGACTGACCTGGGAGAGCCGCCTCGTTTTCCTCCAGTGCTGTTCGTAGACAACAAGGCCATGCTGGCCTTGTGTCGGGAGCACAGACTGGAGCACAGAACAAAGCACATTGCTCTTCGCTACTTTCTTGCTCGTGAGCTGTAGCAGCGCGGTCAGCTGTGCCTTGCTTACGTGGCCTCTGAGGCCAACACTGCTGATATCTTCACCAAGGCACTCGCGCCTTGTGATCATCAGCGCTTCTGTACTCTGTTAGGTCTTGTGCCTACCTTGCCTCACTTGCTCACTTCTTGACCTTGCTTGTACTGTTACATATATATATACCTGTTCTTTCTTGTTTAGCGTTATATATATGTATTCATGCATGTTAACCGGCCTTGTGGCCTTGACTTGTGCTCAGAATGTGTAGTGACGTTGTGATCCACCCTGAGCTTGCCTTGCCTTGCTTTGCTTGAATGGTCTTTGTCAGAATGTTATGCTCTAGCCTGTAGTGGGGTGCTCTATAGCGAGTACAACCCTTCTAGGGTTTGCTATTTGTATCCTCATTCTCGCTAGTGCAATCCTCATCTTTCTTCTAAACTTTCACATGGTATCAGATCAGGTCGATCCCCTTGGATCGATCCTGTGGGTGGGCTCACCACCTCGTTGCTTCCGCTGCAACTGCTACTGCTACTCTCTGTGCCGCACGCCCCGTGGCGTGCGGCAGTTTTTCTTCCCGCCATGCGCCCCGAGGCGCGCGACGGTTTTCTGCCCGCCGTGCGCCCCGAGGCGCGCGGCGGTTCTCTGCCCGCTGTGCGCCCCGAGGCGCACGGCGGGCTTCTGCCCCGTCCCTCAGCGCGTCGCCCTCGGGAGGCGTTGCGACGGGCGACGGGGACCCGCGCGTCGCCCTCTGTCGCCCGTCGTGGCCTGCGCGCGGCCTGTACAGGCAGCGCGCGGCCCGTACGGGCTACGCCAGGACCGGCCTCTCCCCGGCCATGCTGCGTCGCCAGTCGCGGCGCACCAAGGGCACGTGCACCCCCCCCCCCCCCCCCCCCCCCCTTTTTCCCGTCGCCTGTCGAGGCGACCCTCGGGGGACGAGCGCCGCCCCTTCTGCCACCTGTTTTGGCGCCCTTGGAGGCCGCGCGTCGGTCCCCCCCCCCCCCCCCGTAACCTCCCTACCCGCCATCCCGCCCTGCCATGTGTTAGGGTTTGGGGGTGGCGAGTAGGGGGTGGCGGGTGTGTGGTCTCCCTTGCTCCTCCTCCTCCTCTGTCTCCCACTACTGCAGCTACCGCTGAGGGGGGGTGGGTGTGTGGGAGTCGACGGAGTCGTGCTAGGGGGTGGGGTGTGAGTGAACCTAGGGGTACAGTAGGGGGTGTGTGAAATGGGGGTGGGATAGTTTGGGGAGGTTGAAGTGGGTGGCCACCGTGAAGCCAGCAGCTCCAGTCGCCCGTGAGACCGTTGCGCCAGTCGCTCGTGAGCCCGTTGCGCCAGTCGCCCGTGAGCCCGTTGCTCCAGTCGCCCGTGAGTCCGTTGCTCGTCTGCCGCTACTTTTAGCTGTAGAGCCAGTTACTCCAGTAGCCCGTGTGCCAGTTGCTCCAGTTGCTAGTGTGCTAGTTGCTCCAGTTGCCCGTGTGCCAGTTGCTCCAGTTGCGCCGTGTGCCAGCAGCTTCAGCTGCCGCCCACTACCTCCTCTCCTCATAGTCCCTCCTCCTCCACACTTGCCCTCTGCGATAGCCTCTAGCTTTGCTTACATTTGTGAACTTTAAACTATTGCTTCTTGAACTTGTGCTCAGAATGTGTGGTGACATTGTGATCCACCCTGAGCTTGTTCTGCTTTGCTTGCTCTGCTGATTACACCCCACTTTGGCTATGGGGGTGTGTCAGAATGTTATGCTCTAGCCTGTAGTGGGGTGCTCTATAGCGAGTACAACCCTTCTAGGGTTTGCTATTTGTATCCTCATTCTCGCTAGTGCAATCCTATTCTTTCTTCTAAACTTTCACAGTCTTGTGACTCCTTGTTCTCCCCCACTTTGCCTATGGGGGTGTGTCAAACTTATATGTTCTAGCCTGTGTAGGCTGTAGCAGGTTAGACACTAAGGGGTACACAATTCTAGGGTTTCATATTTGTATCACTTTCATTTCTTAGCCATTCATCCTCGTTCTAATCTCCACAACCTCGGCCCTCCTAAAAACCCTGAGCATTATGAACGCTTCACGCACAGTGTCATCCCTCGGAGACCTGTTGTTTCGGAAAGCAGGTTCCAGCTCAGCCTTTCCGGAAGCCACGATTACATCAATCATACTTCTTCAGCTGTGGCTGGAGCGGTGCGATGCTGTCTTCGGGGGGCGAAGGTTCCGGGTGAGGTGGGTGCTCCGGAGGGTTGAAACGGCCTTTCGGCTATATGCAAGGCTGTACACGCAGACAAGAGAAGCGTGGTGGAAGAAATGTCGGGGTCAGGGCCTCATGTATCAGGAAAAAAACCCTGAAATTCCTGATTTTGGCAGCCGATTTTCAAGCTACCCTGAAAAGTCAGAGTTGGGATTTTTGTAGGACTGATCTTTCAACGTTTTTTTATTGGCCACACTGATATTTCAGGTTTTTTTCCCGTTGTACACTGATGCCACTATGTTGTTACGAAACCGACACTGAAAGCGAATCTCACTTGTGACATGTCACCTCGACCGCAATTGCAGGGAATCTCAGATTCCCTGTATGTAGGCACCCCGTGGCGGGACCACCCTTAGAAATGTTGCCTTAGGTTCACGTTGAGAGGTGTTTTTTTGGCGGGGCGCCTCACACCATTGGGCCGTTTCGCTGCAGCATCCAGTGTTAGCAAATCCGAATGGGGCAGACATTGATGCTGGTGGGCTGCCAAGGTTCCTGCCCCGTACCCATCATGTGCGATGCGTTAGGTTTGGGCTGTGCTGGCAAGCACCGTGCCATCCTCCACGCCGCCCAGCCCATCCACCGTTTCTGCCATCTAGAAGTAGGACTTTAAAATAGAGTCAGTGTTTTTGCAAAAGGTACACTGATGCATCAGGCTTTAAAAAATCGCAACACTAACATTTCAGCCTGTTTGTTTTTTGGGACACTGAAAATCAGAGTTAACACGCAGGGGGACCCTGATGGGGTGACGACCCTAAAAGTGAATCTGAGGCCCTGGTCGGGGTACACGTCAGGAGGAGAGGTTTCGTCGCATAATGGAGAAAGAGGACAAGATGCTGTTTCGAATCAGGGACAAAAATAGCAAGCCGTGGACGTGGACGAATGCATTTACAGACGTCTGGCTCGCTCCGAGGATGACTCACATACCTCCTTAGAGGCCACACTTGGGGCGGCGGCGTGGCTTCCCCTCATGCACAGTTACGACTGTTATTGATTATGTATGCTTGTTCTGCTCGGTGTACATTTCAATTACCAAAATAAAAATAAAAAAAAATAATAATCGCACTGGCATAAGTTGAATGCCGTTGAAAATGGCCCATCATTGTCGTAACTTGCGGCGACAGGTTCGCTGGGGTGCACCAACCGAGGCGCAGATGTGATGCTGAATGCGACGGGCAGCAGAACCTGTTGGGGGTGGCACCTGCCAACTCTGGCCAATGAATAGCCTTCAGTCCATCAACTTACCTTTTGTGGCGACTCTGTCTGAGCAAACGACGTTTCTGGTTTTCCAGTGACGATCGCAAACACGAAAGTATCATCTTCCCAAGCCCGATCCACTATTCTCGACACATCCAGCTGTCGCATGTTCTCCCCTCCCTCCTCGACGGAACACCTCACTGTTGTGGGGATGGCTAGTGTGGTGGGTGGAGCAAAAAAGCGGATCCATTCCCTGAACCACCTGCTCCAGCGCTTGCCAGTCGTTGCATACAGCGAGGCACATGCACTTGTTGACTGAATAGTGTCGTGCCTAGCTTCCGAAGTGCATCCCCTCATACGATATCCGCTACTAGCACACTTAGCGCCTGTCGCCATTTGCGTTGGTCCACGCCAGCAGGCCAGCCGCAAGGCGACCGACGCTCGCCGAGAGAGAAAGAAGCGCGCAGCCCGCCGGGCTTGACGACGTCACATACTTTTCACATCGTCGCACGATGGGCGGCGGTTACTCACGAGTCGACATTCCCGAGGCAGCGGGCGGCGCGGAAGCTCCGACCAAGGTACGCGTGCCGCAGATCCGCGCAGTGGTAGAAGCGGTCGACGCGGGGCGAGGGGATGAGAGGGGCGCGTATCTAGGGGCGGGCAACAGCGGGACGCTGATGGTTGGAATTGACGCCGTATTCGCCGCGGCGCTTGCGGCAGGGAATGGGGCGCGCTGCGCGTTGGTGCGCGTCACCACAGAAACCCTCGCAGAACACATGCAGAACCCTCGCAATCCAACTTCCGAAGCCAACTATCGAGCAGAATCCCCTCGATTTCAGCATGGGGCGTTTTCAGCGCTCTCCGTCCTCAAATTCCCTCTTCCATCCGACCGACGGCACCGGCTGCAGCTCCGCGCCTTGCCGCCATGCACACGCTCCCCCTCCCCCCCCCACCTCCCTCGTGCACCGTGCACATTGCCAGGCCCCAGCCGTGCGCCTGTGACCCACACGCACATCACCTCGCCGCTCTCCTTGCGCGACCCGCTCTTCCAGCCCTTCCGCCGCCTCCCTCTCTTCCCTCCCTCCGTTCCCTTCCCGCCCTTCCCTCCCCCTCTCTGCAGCCGGGGGATGCGGAGCAGGCGCAGCGCAAGGCGGGGGGGACGTGCGGGCGCGTGGTGTGCTGCTCGCTGTGCGTGCTGCTGCTGCTGCTCGCCGTCGCCGTCGCCGCCTCCGTTTCCGTCTTCGTGCTGTACCAGCCCAGGGTGAGATTGGGGGAACTGGTAGGTGCTGTACCAGCTCGGGGTGAATTTGTGGGGATGGGACAAAAAAACAGATTCAGTTGGACAATTGAGGGAGGATTGAACCACGATGATGTGGCTGTGATGATGTGGCTGTGATGATGTGGCTGTGATGATGTGGCTGCGATGATGTGGCTGCGATGATGTGGCTGTGATGATGTGGCTGTGATGATATGGCTGTGATGATGTGGCTGTGATGATGTGGCTGTGATGATGTGGCTGTGATGATGTGGCTGTGATGATGTGGCTGTGATGATGTGGCTGTGATGATGTGGCTGTGATGATGTGGCTGTGATGATGTGGCTGTGATGATGTGGCTGTGATGATGTGGCTGCGATGATGTGGCTGTGATGATGTGGCTGTGATGATATGGCTGTGATGATGTGGCTGTGATGATGGTCGCATGTGATGATGGTGCCATGTGATGATGGTCGCATGTGATGATGGTGGCATGTGATGATGGTCGCATGTGGTGATGAGCTTGTGGTGACGAGCTTGTGATGATCGCCCTATTGCATGCCCCACCTGCCCCCCTACAGGCGCCCCAGTTCTCAGTGGGGGGCATCGCCATCTCACAACTCGCACTCACACCGCTGCTGCCGCCCTCCCAGCCGGTTCAGCCACCCCTGCTGCCAGCCGCCGCCCCTTCCTCCTTGCCCACTCTTCCAATTCCTGGGAACGTTCCCCCTCCTGCCAACATGTCTGTGCCCGTCAACGTCCCTCTCCTTGCAAACATGTCTCTCCCTGGCAACATGTCGCTGCCGTCCTTGACTGGCCCGCTGCCCACCAACCTCACTCTCAACACCGCTCAGCTCGCTGCGGCCGTCAAAGCTGCAGCCACTGCTACCACCCTCCCTGCCAACTCCACCCACCCCGCCTCCCCTGCTGCTGCTGCCGCCGCTGCCGCCACCTCTAAATACCTATCCCCGCTCGCCTCATCCCCGTTATTAACATCTCCACTTCTTGCCAATGCGAACATCACGATCCACACGCCGAGCGGCATGACTCTACTGGGGCTGCTGGCAGCGCGGGAGGCGGAGCTGGATGCAGAGCTGAATGTGACGGTGGTGGCGGGCAACAGCAACCACGTGGGCATCTCCTACGAGTACGTCACCATCACCGCTCGCCACCTCGGCTCCGACGTCGGCAATGCTTCGGTGCGTGGCTGGCAGGGGGCAGGGGGCAGGGGGCAGGGGGCAGTGGGCAGTGGTGCACATGCATGCATGCATGTGGCATGGAAGGGTGGCGGGTGTTTGAGATGGTGATTGGCGAATGGTTGCTGCCCGTCCCCACATCCCACTCGATGTCTCCCTCCTGCCATCCACATGCTTCCCGCATCAACCATCTCCCTATGCAATTCAAATCCCTGCCCTCCCCACCCTACTGCGCCTAATGCAATGCACCACATCCCAGCGTTCCACATTCTAAACAGCTTCCCTTCCCCCCCACGTCCTCTCTTGGCGCCAATGCCTGTGCACCAGATCCCGGCGTTCCACCAGCCACCGCGCAGCAACACCACGGTGGAGGGGCACGTGCACCTCACCCGCCTGCCCCTGCACCTCCTGCCACCGCCCTCCTCCTCCTCACCCCTCTCCGCTTCCACACTCTCCCGTGACGCCCTCTCTGCCCAGTCCACTCTGCCGCTACAGGTGCTCCCTACCCCTCCCTCCTTCGCTCCCTCCCTTCCGGCCTCTCTCCCTCCGTCCCTCCCTCCGCCCCTCTGTCCGTCCCTCTGTCCGTCCCTCTGTCCGTCCCTCTGTCTCTCCCTCCCTTCCTCCCTCCCTTCCTCCCTCCCTTCCTCCCTCCCTTCCTCCCTCCCTTCCTCCCTCCCTTCCTCCCTCCCTTCCTCCCTCCCTTCCTCCCTCCCTTCCTCCCTCCCTTCCTCTCTCCCTCCCTCTTGCTCCCCCTCTACCTCCTTCATCCATCTCCACTCTGCTTGCGTGCTGCTCCCTCACCCTCTCACCTGACATTCAAACCTTCTTTCGACATTCTCTCAATGCTCAAGTATATGTTCTCTTCGTTTCTGCTGCACTCGCCTTCTCTCTCCTTGTATTCCCCCTCGATGCCTGCTGCTGAAACAAGGCTATTCCGTCCCACCACATGCCAACACAACACCACCATCATACCAACTCACACTAACATGCTCCTCCTCTCTCTGCTGTATGTTGCTCTCGCATCCCCCCTCGCATCTTTCGCCTCTTGTCGTCCACTCCTGCAGCTGGCAATAGAGGCGAGAGCCAACGTGGACGTTTATAATATCAGAACTCCTTATGTCACGGTATGTTCTCGCTTATATATTCTGCCCTGTTTCTGTTTCTTGCCATTACGGCTCTCATACTAGATAATGTCCTTCTTGTTGCCTCACATAGCCATGGCTGCATGCATGCTTGCATGGACCATTTGTGTGCTCTGGTGTTACGGTATTCCCTTCTCTTCCCACACACGCAGGTCAATCTACTGTGTGACATGGAAGTCAACATCGCACTGCAGCGTGTGGACAACACAACATGTAGCCTAGAAAGCATTCACTTATAATACGGAATCTTTGATCTTACGGAGGAACTCATGTTGTATAATTAATTTGTGTTTCATAAAGATGCGTTTTGGGTATGCTCCAACAAGTCACTTAGGCGTGGAAACTTGCGTTCTTGTACTGAAACGAGTGGCATGCCATGTGCTGTACCTTACGCATTCGGGTCTTCCCATTTCCCTCGTCCCGTGCCCGCCTTGCCCCACCACCACCACACCTCAAGCCCATCTCGTTATTATTGCTCACCCGCCATCACAGCTCGTCTGGCCTTGACCACCATTCACACATCGGCATGCCGCTACCTCGCCGGCGAGTCGCTCTAGGCGAGTCGTCTCTGCGATCGTCGCACGCGTACTCCCGTTGAGCTCGTCCGCGCTCGATCGGCGTCGCCTTTGAGATCAATCCCGATCATTTCGTAACTGAGATTAGGTAATCTATTGTCGTAAAGTTTCGAAATCATGCTTCTCTCGCACCAGTATCCTGGTCGCACCCCTTCCTCCTCTTCTGCAGTCTCTCCGTCTTTTGTCGGCTCATCTGTTTGCCACTCTTCCTCCCCTCTCTTTCCTTCTTCCTCGTCCCCCCTCCCGACAACCCTTCTCCGCACGGCGAATCGCCGTCCTCTCATGCCGCCAGTCCGCCCTCTCAGCACGCCCCTCCCGCTAGCCAACGGTCCCAGCAGCAACGACACGCGCGCGGCAGCATGGGGGGCAGCGAGGAGCGGCGACAGCAGGAGGGGACGGGCGAGGGGCGGATGGGGTGGCTGTCGGCTGTGGCGATCGGCGCTATCACTCCCGGCCTCAACGTGAGACACAGCGTGCTGACGTGGCATGAAATGTGGATTTATGCGTAAGAGGTGTTAACACCGATATTTTATTGATATGCACTAATAACATGGATCTGTGGCGCAATGGTAGCGCGTCTGACTCCAGATCAGAAGGTTGCGTGTTCGATTCACGTCAGGTTCAAAACCTGGTTTTTGTCAATTTCTCATTTCCAGTCATTAGGCAATTGTTTCTATGCGTTGCCTTGTGTTTCCCCTTTGTTCTCTTACCTGCCACTATTGCGGGTGTTCTCCCCACACCCTTCCTATCGTGGTCACTCTTCCCTCCTTTCTTCCTCCCTGTCCAATAGGTTTTCCTCATTCCTCCCTTGTTGTCCTCGTTTTTTCGAAATCAAGGCACCCTCTTCTTGTCACTCCTGCCATTCATCCCGCCCTTTTTCCCATCTCCTCCCTCTCAACGAGCCCACCCTCTATTACAACAACCTGTTCCCCCAATCCCTCCCCCGCCCCCAGCGCCCCACACTGGTGCTCATGAACGCCATCCTGGGCGGGCTGCTGCTCTCCTTCGCCGCTCTGCTGCCCGCCGCCCTCCACTACTCCCGCCCCCCTGCAGGGGACAGCGGCAGCAGCGGGAGCAGCAGCAGTGGCAGTGGCAGCGCGGTGGAGGGCGGCAGCAGTGAGATGCTGTATCACGTGCTCTTCCTGCTGCTGCTCACTCTCCTGCTCATTGCTCTGCTCAACTGGTGGGTGTCCGGTGCTCGAGGATTCACCCATGGTTGCATTCACCCATGTTACTACCCATACATGCATTCACCCATGTTACAACCCATACATGCATTCACCCATGTTACAACCCATACATGCATTCACCCATGTTACAACCCATACATGCATTCATCCATGTTACAACCCATACATGCATTCACCCATGTTACAACCCATACATGCATTCACCCATGTTACAACCCATACATGCATTCACCCATGTTACAACCCATACATGCATGCACCCATGTTACTACCCATACATGCATGCACCCAAGTTACTACCCATACATGCATTCACCCATGTTACAACCCATACAAGCATTCACCCATGTTACAACCCATACATGCATTCACCCATGTTACAACCCATACATGCATTCACCCATGTTACAACCCATACATGCATGCACCCATGTTACTACCCATACATGCATGCACCCAAGTTACTACCCATACATGCATTCACCCATGTTACAACCCATACATGCATTCACCCATGTTACAACCCATACATGCATTCACCCATGTTACAACCCATACATGCATGCACCCATGTTACTACCCATACATGCATTCACCCATGTTACAACCCATACATGCATTCACCCATGTTACAACCCATACATGCATTCACCCATGTTACAACCCATACATGCATTCACCCATGTTACAACCCATACATGCATGCACCCATGTTGCTACCCATACATGCATGCACCCAAGTTACTACCCATACATGCATTCACCCATGTTACAACCCATACATGCATTCACCCATGTTACAACCCATACATGCATTCACCCATGTTACAACCCATACATGCATGCACCCATGTTACTACCCATACATGCATGCACCCAAGTTACTACCCATACATGCATGCACCCAAGTTACTACCCATACATGCATGCACCCAAGTTACTACCCATACATGCATGCACCCATGTTACTACCCATACATGCATGCACCCATGTTACTACCCATACATGCATGCACCCAAGTTACTACCCATACATGCATGCACCCATGTTACTACCCATGCATGCATTCACCCATGTTACTACCCATACATGCATGCACCCATGTTACTACCCATACATGCATGCACCCAAGTTACTACCCATACATGCATGCACCCATGTTACTACCCATACATGCATGCACCCATGTTACTACCCATACATGCATGCACCCAAGTTACTACCCATACACGCATGCACCCAAGTTACTACCCATACATGCATGCACCCAAGTTACTACCCAGACACCCATTCCTGCCTCCCATAGAATGATTCATTCCCTCCCTTCCCTTCCCTCCCCTTTTCTCCTCTTCCCTACCCTCAATTCCCCCTTGCCCCCTCCCCTCCGCTCCTCCCTCTTCCCCCTCCCCCCCCTCTCCTCCCACCTCTTCCCCTTTCTCCCCCACCCTCCGTTTTAATCCTTCCCTCTCCTGTCCCGTTCCCTCCCTTTCTTCCTCCCCTGCCTCACCTCCTCTCTCCCTCTCCTCCACTCCCCTCTCATCCCATCCCCTGCCCTTCCCTCCCGTTACTTCTCTCTTCCCCTGTCCCCTCTCAACCCATTGGACCGTTCTTCCCCAGACATGCCACTGCACTCACTCTCTGCACCAACCCGCGTGCACATCGCTGCTCCCACTCCCACGCTGCATCCCTATGCCATGCATACCTGGCCAAAGCAACCCTCGACAACTTACCCTCCCCCCTGGCAGGTTGGCGTGGGAGGTGGGCACGGTGTCTGCCGATTCACAGGCACGGCAGCTGCTGGCACCTGCTGGCAGCAGCCATGGTGCTGCTGACGCTCACAATGCCATCGAGGCACTGGATGCCCAGGAGGGTGCAAGCGGGCTGAGAGGAGTGCACGGCAAGAGACAGAAGAAGAAGCATCAGAGCACCAAGCGGAGCTCCAAGGGAAGGCGCTGACCTCCTTGTTCCCGCTTCCCTGCTTTGTGCTTCGTGTGACTTGTTGCTTCTCCACACTGCCATAGCCATTGCCCACAAAGCAGCCATGGGGGGATATGGCATGGGGCTAAACGGCTTTACCTGGTATCTCGAGTACTGAACCTTGTCCTGTCCTGACTCTCCAAGTGGACAATGCTGCTCGGTTGACACAAGGATGGAACAAGGAAGGAACAAGGAAGGAACAAGGATGGAACGGCATCTGGCCCCAACCAGCCATGTTCGGCATCTGGCCCCAATCAGCCATGTTCGGCATCTGGCCCCAATCAGCCATGTTCGGCATCTGGCCCCAACCAGCCATGTTCGGCATCTGGCCCCAATCAGCCATGTTCGGCATCTGGCCCCAACCAGCCATGTTCGGCATCTGGCCCCAATCAGCCATGTTCGGCATCTGGCCCCAATCAGCCATGTTCGGCATCTGGCCCCAATCAGCCATGTTCGGCATCTGGCCCCAATCAGCCATGTTCGGCATCTGGCCCCAATCAGCCATGTTTTCAACTGGTGAATTGGGAGTTTTCAGACGCACACAACTGAAAAGCAGTCCAGTGGTGACGTGGCGGCTCATTTCAGGGCAGCAACAATGTGTTATGCCAACCATCACAGGCAAGCACACTAGTCAGGTACAGTAACCCCACATGGCTAACTTATTTACACACCAAGGTAAGCATAATCAACTATGCACTGGTTAGCCCTTCCTAAATCAAATCTCCTGACAAAACGTAAAAGTGAGGCAAACGAATCTGCTCTCATTGCATGCCTTTGTGGCTGTGTGAGCCATGTATGGAAGGCTGGCGCAAGCAAGCAGGCGTGCAAGGGGCAGCAGTGGCTGCTCTTGGCCATGTGGACGGAGTGTCCACTCCACGGGAGGGAGCAGTGCAGCAGATGGTGTTTGACAGGAGCACGTGCACACAGGCATGTATAGCTGTCTCGGGAGATCATGAGTGCAGGGAGGCACCCATACATGCCTGTGTGCCCTGGCCAGCCTGAGCACACTGCCCATACCCCCTGGCGGCCTGCACAGCAGCCGTGGGGCGTGGCATGGCGTGGCGTGGGCATCACATGATCTCGAGCTGTGTGGTGGGGTAACCCGCCTGGGCGCGGTAGTCAAGGAAGAGGCGCTCCAATGCCCTCACGTACTCTGCATGCACCGCTGCCACCTGGGAAGGGGGGGTGGCGTGGCATTGCATGGCATGGGATTGGAGGGTACATAAAGGTGAGTACGCGAGGGGACATGAAGGCAGTGCAGTACTCCGCGTGCTCTGCTGCCTGCCATCTGTGTGGGGGGGATGGCACAGCATGGGATGCACGCAGTGAGGGCATGGCATGGCAATGGCATACAAGGGACATTGCATGGGATGGCATGGTATGGGTGCATGGCAGTGGAACGTCACAGAGGATGAGGAGAAGGGAAACACATGCACCCATGCAGGCGTGAGTGGTGTGCAAGAGAGGGCTGAGTGAATAAACAAGGCACAGCTCGACAACTGCTTTGAAGCGCCAATCAATGAACCCCCTTGCACATGCCCACACAAACAGCGCTCGCTTTGCATCCGCACAACACATTTCTCACACTCACAGCCACTTCACCATTTCCACTTCACCATTTCCACCTCACCATTTCCACCTCACCATTTCCACCTCACCAATTCCACTTCACCATTTCCACCTCACCATTTCCACCTCACCATTTCCACTTCACCAATTCCACTTCAGCACCGTGCCTGACATGCGTTCAACGTACCCTTTCTTTTGAGGGGTTGGGGTCAGGGTCACCCTGGCCGATGGGAGTGGCGATGGCGATGGTGAGGGGCGTGCGGAAGGGGATGGGCGACCCCCACATGCCCCAGAAGACCATCGGCGCAAACCCCATTCTCCGCGCCACCCACCGGTACCATGCCCCCTCTGGCCTCCACCAGCGATATGCACTGGTCTGAGGGATGGGGGGAAGGGAAGAGGGGGGAGATGGGGGCGGGAGAGGGAGGAGGGAAGGGAAGGGAGGGGGAAGGGGGAGGAAGGAGGTGGGAGGACGTGGAGCATGAGGGGCTGGAGGATAGATGAGGGAAGTGCGAGTAGAGGTGCGTGTGCACCATGGCACCATGCCACCATGCCACCATGCCACCATGCCACCATGCCACCATGTCACCTTGCCACCATGGCATCATGCCACCATGCCACCATGCCACCATGGCACCATGCCACCATGGCACCATGGCACCATGGCACCATGGGGGGAATGGGATGGAAAGAGGAGAGGACAAAGAGAGGAGGAGAACAAGCTTTCTCTGGCAGGGTCGATGCGAGGCGAGAGGGGGCCATGAGGGGATGGAGGCGAGGCGAGAGGGGGCCATGAGGGGATGGAGGCGAGGCGAGAGGGGGCCATGAGGGGATGGAGGCGAGGCGAGGGTTGGAGTGCTGTGCAGCGTGGCGGCATGGTCTGCCTCCATTCTGGGTGTGCCCCGGTGCGTGGGGGGTGCAGGGCAAGGGAGGCACGAGAAGGGGTCAAGTGTGGAAGCCAGGAGGGGGGAGACGGACTGAACGAGGGGAATGCATGGAGCACACAAGCTTGCTTTGGCAGGGCAGAGGCGAGGCAAGCAGCAAGGAATGAGAAGGAAGGCAGAGTGTGGAGGAGAGAGTGTTTGCTTCAGCAGCGCACAGGAACAGAGCCCAGTACCCACTTCCCACCGCCCACCACCCGCCCCCACTGCCCCCAGCTCAGCCCCCAGCCCCTCGCCCCCCCGCTCCCAGACCGCGTCCCCCAACCCACGGAGCCCGCCCCTCGGCCCCCGCCCCGCGCGTCCCCTGCCCACTGCCCCTTGCACCTGGCCGAAGGCGAAGCAGGGCAGCACGGGCACGCCGTGCTGCAGCGCCAGGCGGATGAAGCCCAAGCGCTGGCGGATGAACACCACCTGGCGGGTGGCGTGGGGCGGGGGGAGGAGGTGCGGTTGTGGGGGTGGGGGGGGGGGGGGGGAGGAGGAAGGGGGGGGGCAGGGGGTTCGGTGGGTGTGTGGAGGGACAGGGAAGATGGCAGAGGAGGGGGGGGAGAGGGACGTGAAGCCAAATTGGAGAGGATGTGAAGAGTGTGGCGATACAAGCATGCGAAGGATATGGGGAGAGGGCGGTACGAGGGAGAGGGAAAGGGAGAGAGGAAGGTGCGAAGGAAAAAGAGCGAGGGGTGTGGGAAAAGGTTGGAGTAGGGGTAAGGGAGGAGCCAAATTGGGAAGAGGGGGATGGGGGATTTTGCATGACACAGCGACGAACGAGTACCGCACCCCACATGCACTTTTCCCCCGTGCATGCACATTCACACACCCCATCCCTCAACACAACCCATTCCGCCACACCCCATCCCGCCCCACCCTACTCACTCCTCCGCACCTCCTTGCCGGGCGCCATGAAGAGGCACTCCTGCCTGCACGCCCATTCACACACGCCATGCCGCCACATGCCATCGCACCACACCCCATCCTGCCCCACCCCATCCCTCCCGCACCTCCTTGCCGGGCGCCATGAAGAGGCACTCCTGCACGCCGCCCGGCACGATGATCACGGGGCGGCCGCGCTGCAGCACACCGGAGAGTACTGGCCTGGTGGCGGGGGCGAGGCGCGCCCACTGCCAGCACTGGCGCAGCAGCGGCACGCGGAAGATGGCGCTCGTGGCGCCCGCCACCCCCCCCGCTGCCAGCGCGTGGCACATGAACGCGCCCAGCCCCACCGGCAGCACCGAATGCGGCTCCACTGCTATCACTGCGATGACCCAGGGTGGGGGGAAGGTGGGGGGAGGAGAAGCGGGGAAGAGAAGGGGGAAGGGGGGAGGGGGGAGGGGGAAGGGGGAAAGGAAAGGGAAAAGGGGGGAGATAGGCGGGATAGCAAAGGAGTGGGTAAGAACGGCGCATGCTGACCGCACACCCTCGGCTGCCATCCTCCTTCCTCCACTTGTGCTGCAGGCCTCCTCCCTCACAGCTTTCTACTTGCAGAAACATAAACATTCACCTCAAAACACGCACATGCACATGGGCACGAGCACGGGCACAAGCGAGAGTGGCATGTGCACACCTATCCATTCACCACCCCACGAACATCACGCACCCACACACCACCCGTGCACCTGCCAACACGCCCCACCCCTGCTCCCCTACCCCCCAAGTTGCTGGCATCGCACCGTAGGGCTTGCCGAAGGTGACGGCGGTGCGGTCATGGAAGAGCACGCGCACGGGGAAGTGGCGCAGCACCACCGGGTAGATGAACCTGCCATGGGGGCGAGGGACGAGGGGCGAGAGACAAGACATATGGAGGCGAGGCATGAGGCACAAGGGAAGGCACACACACATCACAAGGTGACGGTAATGCTGCGGTCATGGAAGAGCAGGCGCACGAGGAAGTGGCGCAGCACCACTGGGTAGATGAACCTGATGGGGGCGAGGGACGAGGGGCGAGGGGGCGAGAGGCGAGGGGCGAGGCAAGACACACACGCAACCACCACGCAGCAAGGGAAAAGAGCGAGATAGCGAGGTGTGCAATTCAGGCCGGTGGATATGACTGAGAGCCGGCAGATGGCGGCCCGCAGCGAGGAGGAAGGGAAACGGGATGGTGGGTGAACAGGTAGCGCGGGGCAGATGGGACGCGCCCTCGAGAGGCTTGCCTCCAAGCGAACCCTAATCGGTTTTGACCGAGTTCACATGGAGTTGACGCGGACACAGCTTCAACCGTCTGTGGGCCGGAGGAAGAAGCAGGCGGCCATTGGCGAAGTAAGGGGAAGTTGTCGAGCGAAAGAGGAAGCGAACGGAGAACGAGCGGAGGGGAGACGGACCTGCGGTAGGCCTGGGCGAGGGGCCCCTCGACGTCGACGGGCGCGACGGCGAGCGTGGCGAGGAGCAGCAGCAGCGCGATGGCGAGGGGGTGCGGGAAGGTGAGCGCGATGAGCAGGAGCAGCGCGAGCAGGATGTGCAGCCACCCCATCCACAGCA